TTGTGCGACAGCCAGTACACTGAAAGTAAATCAAGAACATACCAAGTAGGAAAACACAGTCTAAAACTGCCTCCCACAATTCATCACTGGCAGAGATTCAAGGCTGAACGTACTATTAAAGAGGGTGAGGGTTAAAGGTGTTTCTTGCTTGGTGGCACCCAGCTTTTTGAGGAGTTATGACTCTACCTTTAGTTGGCAGAAAGGTCTCTTTCATACATATTGTATGCACACACACATATTAGCATTCACACAGATGCATTGCTGAGATATATAACACATCGTCGCAGCTGTTGCAGGGAGTGAGTAATCGGTCATGCCAACTCCCAGAGTGCACTGTGGGAATTTGAAAGAAGCAGGAGAAAAGCAGTATTGCACCATCGCCATCACATTTGAAGTCAGTTGGTTCCAGATTTGTTTTGGTACCATTCAGTGTACAGTCAGCTGGCTTGTGTTGCTGCTCTCTGTTGACATTGCATTACACATGTTGATGCTTTGTTTTGACATTACAGTAAATTAGCCCGACTATTTACCGCCATCTGCTGGACACTCACTGCAAGTGTTACATACAACTTGATTAAATGGATGCACTTGTTTTCACTGTTACATCTTTGCATATCATCAAATGTTAACTTTAAGGAGAAAACATAGCTTGAATATAATGAAGCGTGGTGAAAATAAAGCACGTAACCTGACGTGATTAGTGGCGCATGACGTCGTTGCTATAGTAACCAGAACACAGCATTTAACCTGAGAGAAAACTGTGATTGAGTTTTGCTAACATTTGCTGTTAGCTTTAACGTTATTTAAACTGTTAAATGCGTACGGTTTTGTACTTTCATTGCACCAGGGGACGGAGTTTTCAAGGAGGATTCAAGACATTTACAAGTAAGACTTTTGTAAAAGTATTTGTTTCTTTGTTTAGCAAACAAACACCGACACAAACATGAACTACTTGTATTGTTAGCTAACGCTTAGCTTATGTTTTAGCTACGTAAATTAGCATTAACAGTAACGTTACACATCAACATGGAGCATTTTTACTTAAGAACGTGTTTTTAATGATGACGCCATAGAAAGGGACGTTTATGTATTGGCGTTGAGCATTTAGTCAACAAAGTATAAACTAAACTGTATATTTTTTTGATTTTGAAGCGCACTGCTCACATATTCAGGTGATACTGTCCCTATACCACCTTGCATAGACTTCTTATATTATATAATATACATATTGTTATTATTTATTCCCCTTAAAATCAGCTATGAATATTGAACGTGTGTTTTAAAGAGCTCTTGCTAGTACTTCCGGTTTGTGGTATTGATAGACAGCTTTTTGGCAACACCTTTCATACCAAATTACCCTCTGACCCCTCAATTCATGTTGGGGGGTAACTCAACTCTGGGGAAATTACAGAGTATTTATCAATTAAGATGAAGAAGATTCCAAGTTACCCATCCTGCATAGCATGTTGCTATTGTTGATGTGTTTATCCTGTTTCATAAATGCAATGCTCTTATTCCCCATGCTTTCTCCCTGCCTTCAATCTATGAATACTTATGAATAGATTGGTTAATGGATGTATCTATCTATATGTTTTGCATTAGTGAGTCAATCTGAGGAGGAACAGGGTTGCATGAATCCCAGTGGAGGAGAAGTGAAAGTGAAAGAGGAGGAGGAGGAGGAGGAGGAGGAGGAGGAGGAGGAGGAGGAGGAGGAGGAGGAGGAGGAGGAGGAGGAGGAGGAGCGGAGGAGGAGGAGGAGGAGGAGGAGGAGGACGAGGAGGAGGACGAGGAAGACGAGGGATACCCCCCAGGTGGCCCTTACACCTGGTGCTTCACTCCCAGAGGATCCATCCTTTGCTACTACTGATGTAACTGCTAGCTCTGCCTTCCAGTGCCTTGAGGAGGTAAGACTCATACATGATGATTTAAATAAATGATATATTAAATAAATTATAAATTAAATAGCATTTTAGAACTTTCACATGAAAGACAAACATAGCGTCAAGTACCGTACTTCAGTATTATTTATCATTTTACTTTACTTGAGTATTTCTATGTAATGCTACTTTATACTTCTCCACTACAAACCACAGGTAAATAATGTGCTTTTTATTACACTACATTTATTTAACACTCTAGTTACTATTAATAATATGAAAACACAATATATTCTTATCCATCATGTATTTGACATAGCCTTTTAAAATTGGCTCCACATTGACAAACTTTAACATTAAAAGGCTTGTACATGTTATAAAAACAATATTATTTAATATTAAAATGACTTTGAAATAGCCATTCTGAATACTTTTACTTTTGATACTTGAAGTACATTTAGCTGATAATACTTTTGTACTTTATATCACTGTAATGGGCCACCGTGCAGAATGAGTACTTCTACTTTAATTACATTTTGATATTGTACTATTGCTTTGGTAACATTTTGAATTCAGGATGTTTACTTGTTAAGAGCATAGTATTTCAACTTTTACTTAAGTACAGGATCTGAGTACTTTGTCCCCCTCTGGCAATGATCACATTTACTTCATTGCCTTTTTTCCCTGATAGATTATCTTTAAAATATATCTTGGTACTGTACATGGATTTGTGGGCCATACAACATTTACCTTAATGTTTAAAGAAAAGTAAATACTTGGAATTGAATTCATCATGTGGATGAGCACAATCATTTTGTATTAACTTGATGGTCACATACAGTAAACAGACATTAAAGTCACAGGCCCACAGTGTGATTCTGTGATGACTGATATGTACTCCCTCTTGTATTGAGTCACTTTAATGAGTCAACACCTCATTAACCCGTTCATTATGGGCATGCAGCATAACAGGCGCACTTTTAAGGGATTTCTAATCATATGTCTTCAACAGGATTTCAAACACTGAAATGTACACAGCCATGAAGTTAGAACTTTATTCATTCTTTGATATAAAAAAGTGCATAATCTTTTGGCATGACGGTTGAATATGAATGATAGAAAAGATCAATATCGTACACACACGAAGCTCCAAATACACACATAAGTACTATGAATGGTCCCAATACTGCACAGTCTTCATCATTGCTTGAATATCAACAATCATTAGACTTGTCCTGTATGACCTATGTATCATATAAAAGCTGTCATACCTCACAAAATCAAATAAATACTGTACACGTCCTTAAAGTTTCTTTCCCCATCCTTCCCATTCACAGTGCGCATAGAATGGATTAAATGGTGCTTTACAGAGTGCTAACGTTAGGCGGCAGTATTGTACAAGTGATGACTCGGGAGTTTTTTTTACACATGAAAACTGGTGCATGGCATCAAGAGATGTGCAGTAGTTCAGTGCACCCAGAGTTAAAGGGGAGTACAATAGGAACAGGTTATTTTTGCAGCAGTGTCCTGCTCCGGGGCTGCTGTCAAGAAAAATGTAATGGAGCATCAATAATGCAGAATGTACTTGGGAACGATCCAATAGAATTGTATTTCAGGGTGCGTATTTATCCTTGGATGTTTTATACTGTATAGGATGATAATGATACATTAGCAAAGTGTCCCAGTGTAATTAAGTGAACGACACAGAAGCTGCTACCCAAAGCGTGTCGTATATCACTTCCTGTAGTTATTTTTTAAACATTTTGACTCTGACCCCGGCATGAAGTCTTTCAGAATGAATTTCCGAGCCACTAAAAACTGTATCATCAGCTCTCATATACCTCACTCGAGTAGATGCTGTTAATTATGAAACCATTTAGAGCGGAGAAAATGATAGCTCATTAGCTTTTACTACTACTGTTTGCTGTGCCGTGTCTCAGCTGGTTTTTATAGCAGGGGGGACAGAAAGTGGAGAAATGCCAGAAAAAAAGTGAAAAATCTCTCATGTTAACCCACCGTAGAATATGATGGCCACTGTAGGAGGCTGGCCTTTAGACTGTGTGTGTGTGTTTTTTATTAGTCCATCATCGTTCATAGTCCATTGTCCTTTAGTATCATCATTTGAATCCGATTTGAATTTTTGGACGGCCGCGCTCACTGCAGTGGAGAAAAGTAATGGCACGGTTACAAAATGTTACATTTACTTTCACAATTGTCTTTTTCTCACGAGTTGCACTGTACAAACTCAAAATCTAGCCAAGTATATTCGTCTAATTTCTAGTCAGAATATGTCTTTACACTCGATATACTGTAAGACCTAATAACTGAAGAGGTAACAATGCAGTGAGATATAGGGTCTTGTTTTTAGACAATGCATTTTTAAGCTGTTGTAAAAGATGGTTCATCTAAAAAAAAATACTTATTGGAAAATCACCAACTAACATCCGAAAACTGAACACTTTTGAGCATTTCAGGCAACAGAACATTTCCTGATCCAGGTAAGATATAGTTCAAAATAAGTTTTCCTAGCTTATCACAAGATCTTCTTTATCTAAATATACCCCGTCTTATTTCAAGAAATCTAACCAAGCAAATGTTCACTTGTTCTATTGGCAGATATTTTTACTTATAACACGCGAAAACACCTTGTTTTGCATGACTAATTGTTGGTGTTTTTCCGTCTATTCTCCGTCTTTCCATATTCATATTTACCTGTCCCCTTACGGAGCGTAGTTCTTGGGCCTCATCAGCATCTTGACGGTTTTGAAGGCCTGCCTGTAGTTGGTGGGGTAGTACTCCGTGGACATGTTGTGCCACGTTCCCCAGAAGATCCCGTTCCTCACTCCCTTGTACCTCTTGTGATAGTACTTCCCGTTGAGGTTGGCGGACATGCAGGCGTCGAACCACCAACCGGAACTGTAGTAGGCGCCGCAGCTTCCGGAGGGGTACATGTCGTTGTCGCGGTCGGGCGTCGAGAAGAACTTCTGGTCGTGGTTGAAGTGCTTGTTGAAATTGATGGCGTTCCCAGCTGTCCCACTGCAAAAACATCAACACTTATATAAGATGTAGTCCTTCTTTATGAATATTTGATCGAGCGTGCAAGCAGAGAATCTAAAATTGTACCTGTATCCACTGATAGACAGTCGATAGCGGAGGAATTCATTGGCCACATAGAACTGTTCGTACTTTGCGTACTCCCGGACACCCTCGAAGTCCTCCAGCTCAATGCGGAGCACCATGTCTTTGGATTTTGTCATCGAGTGGATATGGTCATTGCCCAGCCAGAACTCACCTCTACAGAAGAGGGGAAGTACAGATAAGAGGGGAAAGGACAAGGTAAAACAAATTGAGATTATTAAAAAGCGCATATCGGTGTACATCTGATTAGAAAGCTACTCAAAATGATTTAAGTTAACGACAGAGGGGAGGAGGAGATGCAAGGGCAGAGGAGTGTGACGGTAAAAGAGGGTTGAGAGGAGACATTATTCTTTCAGTGGGAGGTTATACTACATCTATGGTTGTCATATAAAACTCCTTCCTTCAGGAGCAGAGGGCAGAACATGGCCTGAAATATGAATCTAGTTATAGAAAGGGCGATGCGTTAAAACAGAAAATAGTCTGTGTTGAACGGCTCCTTCCATTTTCCCAGGAGCTATTTCCCATCTTTAACCATTTTTCTAGTCCTAAATTATTAATTGCATTTTGTTAAAAGGGGTCAACTGTACTGTAGTCATTTGCTTTTATCTATATGTTGCATGTCAAGGGAATTGTTACATTGTTGTTCACCAATAGGTTACCTGAGCAGATAGTAGGATTACATTTAAGTGAGAAGATGATATTATGTTACTGGTACAGTTGGTTAGTAGATGGCAGCTTGTTGCTACAAAGAGGGGATTTACGTGATGATTCTCACCAAACTGTTTGTAATTGTTCTTATTTTATCGTACTTTTTAGGTTTTCTTTCTCTTTTTTCTTGTTATAGGTTTTTCTTGTTGATTTAGTATTCCTCTTTGTATGTTGTGCCTCTACTGTGGTTGTTTACATGCTTTAATGTTCAAAAAGCTCTTTATTCTTCTCATACTTTTCACCCCCTGTCTGAAACCAGAGCCCAGTATGCTCTGATTGGTTAGCTGGCCGGCTCTGTTGTGATTGGTCAACTGCTTAGAGGTTTGTCTGAAATGTCCCGGCCCTTAGCATATCACAAACAATGCATTAGAAGCGCGAGTGTGTCAGTGATATCATTTTGTTACGGTAGTAAACAAAGGAGTTTAATGAAGGTGTTTTAGGCAGGGGGGGGGGGGGGGGGGGAGTGTGTGGGAATTTTTTTGTTTTTGCAGACAATTTACATGCACAAAAACATATATAATACACTACAGGAAAGGGAACACCACAAAAAGCATAACATGGCCCCGTTAAGTTGGAAAACCTACCAGAGACAATACTTTTATCAATACCAGTTAGATATATCTGGTTGTCTTTTTAAGCCTCTAAGCCACAATTGTCATTTTAGTTTCCAGCAAATATTCCCGACCCTAAGATATCTTTTGAAAGGAGGGAAAGAAATAAACCCAAGCCCATTACCTGAGGTTCCCGAAGCCTTTCTTATACTCGGCCCAGGTGCGGTTGAAGCTGACAGACCCATCGAGCCGTTGCTGTATCACGGTCCATCCGCCCCATAGGACTCCATGTCACAGAAGACGTCAATTGAGCCATTGCGGGGATCAAGGGTCACGCTGTACACACCGTTCTTCCTCGCCTCCAGCACATTGTAGTCTGAACAGTCCCGAGGGGCGAAGATCACTGATGGGGCAAAGAGGGAGATGATGGACGATGAGAGGTGGTTATAGGAGATCTTACTGGATGGACTGTTTTTCATCAATATATTATAAGTCTCAGATATATACAAACATGTCTCTGAAGTGTTTGGCCTCGTAATACCAAACAGATCATTGCAGCATTACCCATAATCCCCTCTGTTTCAGCCCTGTTTCCAAAGTGCTGATTCTCTGTCTGTTACTTTAGATGAAAATAAGGAGCCCCTCCCCACGCCCCTCTGAGAGAGATTTGGTTAACAAGAACACAAGGTGCTCTAGGAGGAGATTCAGGTGATAAGGTGGGGGGGTGGGGGGGCTTACCTTGGTTGCTGATTGGCTAATGGTTACTCAAGCCAACACATCGTTATGACGTCATAAAGTGGCCAAAATCTGATCAGCTCAATTTCAGACAGGTTTTTATAGAAATGGATCAAAAAGAGAGAGAATCTTTGTTCCTGGAACTTTCAGAGTCTCTTTCCACAGAGGGGACACATGTTGATGTAAAGAGACATGAAGAAGAGGGGACACATGTTGATGTAGAAGAGACATGAAGAAGAGGGGACACATGTTGATGTAGAAGAGACATGAAGAAGAGGGGACACATGTTGATGTAGAAGAGACATGAAGAAGAGGGGACACTTGTTGATGTAAAGAGACATGAAGAAGAGGGGACACATGTTGATGTAGAAGAGACATGAAGAAGAGGGGACACATGTTGATGTAAAGAGACATGAAGAAGAGGGGACACTGTTGATGTAGAAGAGACATGACACGACGAGGGGGCAAAACAGGAGAAGAGACATGAAGAAGAGGGGACACATGTTGATGTCGAGAGGACATGAAGAAGAGGGGACACATGTTGATGTAGAAGAGACATGAAGAAAGAGGGACAACATGTTGATGTATAAGAGACATGAAGAAGAGGGGACACATGTTGATGTAGACAGAGACATGAAGAAGAGGGACACATGTTGATGTAGAAGAGACATGAAGAAGAGGGGACACATGTTGATGAAGAAGCGACATGAAGAAGAGGGGACACATGTTGATGTAGAAGAGACATGAAGAAGAGGGGACACATGTTGATGAAGAAGAGACATGAAGAAGAGGGGACACATGTTGATGTAGAAGAGACATGAAGAAGAGGGGACACATGTTGATGTAGAAGAGACATGAAGAAGAGGGGGACACATGTTGATGTAGAAGAGACATGAAAAAGAGGGGACACATGTTGATGAAGAAGAGACATGAAGAAGAGGGGACACATGTGATGTAGAAGAGACATGAAGAAGAGGGGACACATGTTGATGTAGAAGAGACATGAAGAAGAGGGGACACATGTTGATGTAGAAGAGACATGAAGAAGAGGGGACACATGTTGATGTTGGAGAGACATGAAAAAGTGGATTTTGCATAATAGGTGACCTTTACATAATGACTTTGCTCTGGCATTTGTCCTTCAAGAATGGAAAAAACATGTGATAAGTTAGTAGGAAATCCAGCTTGAACCGTTGTGGAAGTTCTCAATCCTGCATTAATTTCCGGGGGAAGTCTATTCCAACACATTCCAACTTCAGTTCTCTAGCCTCTGACTAAACGATTGCCAAGTGCAGATCAATCATCATGTCATCAAGCATTACACTGAGAACTATCTTCTGTAAGCACTTGAGAACACTCTTGCTCATCCTCACCATGATGTCCCTTTCTGGAAATCACATGAAGACTGAAACATAAAAGAAAAGAAAGCAAAGGACAGGGGCCACTGTCAGAGGATGAAAGTCAACGACATTCTCCCTTGTTGCACCGCGGGACATTTCAGACAGCTCTGCTACTTTCTGAGATTTCTTCCCACATTTTTCTAAAATATCTTTCCACTTATTTCTCTAACTCTTGCTCCTGGCCCCTGTGTCGCACTGCGGGCCACTGACCCCATCCAAAACCGAGATCCAAAGGCCCCTGTCAGTTAGCATTTGGGATTTTAAAGGAACAGACTTGTCAAAACGTGGGAAAGTGTAAAACGGGATTAGAGAAGCGTACCCCCTCCCTGCACGTTTGGCACCTGGGGCCTGAATCATCTTGACATTGGGCAGGCAGCATGTGGACCCCGACTGAGTGACGCAGTCCTCTGCTGATACAGATTTGTCTTACTGTTAAATCTGCTAAATGGCATGGTAGATTATAAAGAACAACGGTGGAACAGAGCCATACTGATAACAGAGGTTTCTTCAAGCACAGGAAGGAAAGATCTAGACCAAAAATGTTTTGTTGAGTAAAGCAATGTGCAGCAATGTAAGGTTTGTGTTTCCTAAGATTTTGTAAGTGCGTGTGCAAAATAAAAGCACCATTCATGTCTTTTAGTTGCTTTATCTCTGTAGCCATCTTCTACATTTCCCTGTCAACATATGCAGAGAACTTTGTGTGCAAAATGGCCGCAGCATTGTAGATCACGCAATCTGAAAGCAGTGCATGATGTTTGAAAAATGTATCCTTGTCACGTTAACGGCTCTCGCTGCACTTGGCATTCAAAGTGTTGTGCTATAAATTCCTCCAGTGTCTGCTTCACTTTAAATGAGGGTAGTTTCTCCACTTCACATCTCTATTTGTCACCATCTGTCTGCAGCCAGCATCCATAGGCAGAAGAGCCATCTCATTTGACTACTTCTGGCACTGTGCCTGACCTAAATAACTATAATATCAACCACCTGCTGGTGTCCACATGTTTGCTGTTGAGTCAAATGATCGGTTAGTTTTGTGGCTGAGGCCTTTGACTAATTTCTTAGAAACTTCCAAAAAGTATTGACGCCTTTTAGCCCAATTCTTGACGAACCTCGCCTCTTTGGCATGCATATCAATGATTGGCATGAAAGGAAGACAACCCTGTTATCAGGGAAGCGCGCTCTGTGACGACCAGTAGTCAGCTTAGATTAGCACCTCTAATGGAAGGAAATGTGTCTACAAAGTGATAGTATAATCTTTCCCCACAAAAAGTACAACCGTCTGTTTTGACACAAATCAAAAAGCAACACCCTTCCTTTTCGGAAGCTGTGTGTCACCACAATCGCAGACAAGCAGTTCTTGACATCCATTCTCTGTCCGTAATTGAGTAAATGTAGCCGAACAGTAACATGAATTGCTACCCGTTCACCTCAAGGCCTTAATACGTCTTACAGCGGTGAAAGGGAAGATTAGTGCTTGCAGCAGGGATGGGAATTGGCAAACAGGGTGAAAGAAACACTTGCAGCAGTGAGCGATAAAAGCATCTTGGCAAACGTACTGTCGCTTGATGGTGAAATGGCAATTCACGTTGGGCTTAAGTGTTTGGGTAATGTATGCCAGTGTTTTATTAGGGTTAGGGTTATTAGCTGCTTGTCCCTCATTAGCTGCTCTCTCTTTGAGCTTGTGACAAAGTGGCATTGATAGGGATAAAAGGAAGTTCAAAAGAAACTTTTTCAAGCCTACAGAGTGTAAATGTTACGAACTGTATAGTGTAGCTGAACCAGTGAGTTTAGATTATAAATCCCTTTTTATGTGCGACTGGTTTTTCAACATTTGCTCGCCATATAGATCCATCACTCCAGCTCCTAACTAGATACAAATCCACATCTGTCTCTTATGACGTCTCCCTACATTTATATAATCTGCAGACGATGGCATTTTAAGTCTACTCGCTCGTATCTCTTCGGATGAAAACGGAATGTAAATTTGATTCATGCAAAAGGGGAGGTGCAATTTGGCAGCTGTATATATAGTTTATTCAGGAGGCAGGGGAACCATTTAGACAGGAATGCCTCACTAAGCTCTACGATAAACAACTGGAAAACATTCTCTCTACGTCGTGTTCATATCAAGTAGGGCATAGTCATTCATCTTGTGTTGGTTTGTTTTAAGATGACTTCACACTTGTCCAGTTGTGAAATCTTGAAGATTAGAAAAAAACTGTTAATCTTGTCTTTTTGAAGAAGACATATCGCCTGCAGCAACGGTTTATACTCTCGTTGTGAAACTGTAAACGTATTCGATTAATCTCCCTGGTAATAACAGATGTTTTCTTCCTGCTTCTTTTGGATCCACTTCACACACCAATGGTTATGATTTCCTAACTTGCTGTTGCATAAGTTGCCGGATCTCGAGTTTAACATGACAGATTGATGTTCAAAGACAAGTGTTACTGACCCTGCGTGCCATCCGTGACTAATGTTGGGAAAGCCGCCCACATGACTTCTTGTGGTGTTGTCAAGAGATAATGAGAGCTAGTTGTTTTATGCAGGAATGAACACTCAAGAGCATGACCTCCAGAGGAAGAGAGAGGAGGGGTAGGGAACCGGGAAAAGCGGATTAAAGTGGGATGGAGTCGGGAAAGTTGTGGCAGAAGAAAAAGTGAACAAGAGAGGAGATATGAAGGGGAAATGGAGCGATGAATAGCAGATAGACAGGAATACATGTATGGGTGAGAGAGGACAGGATTGAAGGAGAACGGAGCAAATTTAGGGAGGAAGAAAACAGAGAAGAAGAGAGAAAGCCGGGACTCCCTTCACACCACTGTCCCAGCTAATCTACTTAGAAATAAGCTCACATCTGTTTTCCACATAAAAGTCCCCCAATATAATGTCACATTCACTCATGCAATATCGGGATATTATTCAGCCTGAAAAGAGGCCTGCATTTCAATGACGCTTTCATCCAAATAAGCTTTTACATAGACGCAAAGGGGGAATGTTTGTTATGCTTGGCTAGTTTGCAATCCCTACTAATACATTTCTCAAAGTTTCCATAATGAGGCTGTACTAATCTCTGGACTTCCTTTTTTCAGAAACCTAGAAACAGTTTTTTATTATACGTTTTTTTCACATTATAGTATTCAGTAATGTAGGCGCCAAGTATCTTTTTCCCTTTTTGAGTTTTTGTGCATTTGGAGGGTAGTGGAATGTCAAGGTACTTGAAATAGTTATATAAAAGGTCATTTCAATACTCACTTTGACCCTCGTAGTCATATTGCTTCACTCAATATGACTTCAGCCCAAAACTATTTTAGAATTTTTGTTATTGCTGCACTTAGCCAGCTGAGGCTCTGCTACAGTAGTGGACATTTTTGAACATTATGCAACACTCTTCATACCGATAATAGCAAAAGCATGTCGCTCACAACAAACTACTTTGAGCAGATGTCAATGTCATCGTCAGCCTGGAAGATTTCACTTCCCATTTCCCAGAAGGAAAGGTCTCACTGGCTGAAGGTGACCACCCAGAGTTGGGTTGTTTGTTGTGATAACAAGTCGCCATGCCCACTCAGGCCTGATTGGATAGATCCAATGCCAGAGAAGTCACCTTACAACAACCCTCAAACTGCTATGCGTGTGTGGGAGAATCATTACCATATCTACATCTGTGGTGAATTCTTTCAAGCAGAGATTACTAAAAAATGTAATGCATGAAAAGAGGAGAGGCATCTTTTGAAATAGCAAAGATGGAACGGAATGTAATGGCGCGTTTCCACTACAGCGCGGAGCCCCGTTAAGAGGGCTGTGACGTCAGCGGCCCGCTTTTGGTTGCGTTTCCACTTGGCCTAGTATCGGCTAGCGGGTCCTAATTCACCGTTTTTCTGGCCCCATAAAATCGGGGTTCTAGCGCCAGGAACAACCAGGCTGTGACGTCACTCTCGACTGCTGATTGGTCAGAGAGAATCGACGCGTCGCATATAGATATATATATATATATATATATAGCGAAGCTTGCAGCATTTTTATAAACGGCATTTTTGTTAACAGAAGATCAACAAAAATGGCAAAGAAAAGCACACCGTGGTCCGCCGAGGAAGTTACGACGTTCCTACACTTTATTGCAGATGACAAGATCCAGCGGGAGCTCGACGGGACAACTCGCAATATGAAAGTATTTCAGGAGGTCTCTACACTGATGTGCGGAAGCGGTTACTCGAGGACTGTCTTGCAGTGTAGGGAAAAACTGAAAAAGATGAAGAGTGAGTATCGCGTAGTGAAGGACAACAACAAGCCGATCGCTCCGCCTACACTGCGTTACTATAGATCAGGGGTGCCCAACCTTTTTTGAACCGAGAGCTACTTTTAAAGTTGCCAGTCTGCCGAGATCTACCAGTACAAATAGAGAGGCGTAGCCATTACTGACAGCCTACTACCAGGTGAATACACACTTCTACTTGTATAAAACTGACCTTTGTACGATGAATACTTCATAAAATACTGCAGATCCTTTATCTTACCTCTTTCTAGTCTACACACATACAAGTATTTAACTGAAGTTACACAACAGTGTTGTTGATACAGAGTTGGTGTTTATTCACACGTCACTACAGTGGGTAATGTTTTCAAGAAACATTGAACAGTGCTGCCACAGATGACACAGGGAAAAAAGAAAAGACTCTGAACCCTTTCTTTGACATTATATAAAAATAGTGTTGCTGCAAAAGTATAAATTAGGCTTACTAATAAGACAACTCAGATCTGAAGCTACACAGGAATCTGCTGCAACAGTGCAATAAAAAAGACAAAATTAATAGAATCAAACCCTTTTTTTGTTGCATTTTATTAGAGTATAAAAAGAAATGCCTATAAAATAGGATGCAAGCAACACTAGTTTCTTAACCTGAATTGATAATAGACTATAATCAATTTAAGTTTGCATTCTTATACCATTTTGTACAATAATTATAATGAATAAGTTCAAACAAACTAAAACTTACAGCTGATTAATAACGGTATCTAACTTGAGTTTTTATTATATCAAAAACCTGTTGAAATGCTCCTGTTATTTTTACTGTCCCCCAAAAGCGCGTCGGCACGATAAGATGCTCTGGTAGCAGCCTTGCTCTTGTTGTTGGGCCTGGTGGAAATGGACTGCTGTGCATTTAGCTGTGCTCTCAGGCCCCTCCCCTTTTGGAGCGTAGGGCAGAATTAGGAGGGAATTCCGTCTCGTAGCGTTTGTGCACTGTTTTTGAAATGCCGCTCCTAAATTACCCCTTCTTCGATAAAGCCACGCTCGCATTGCAGATGAGACAGATGGACTTTGAATTGGAATAGATACAAAAATAATCATCCTCCCACTCGGAGTGAAAATTATATATTTTGGGCTTTTTTGCTTCTGTCATAATTGCAGTCTTGTGTGTGTGCGGACTGTCACTCCTGTTGACACGGACAACGTCAGCGAAATAGTGCCCACTGCCCACCAGTCACGCCCCGACACATGGGGTCACGCCGGCCAATCACAAAGCTTTGATGCGTTCAAGTGCATTATTCTGGCACAGGAAGATTTTGTTATAGGACATTAACGATAAAACTGAATATTGTTGTTCTTTTTTTAGACACATCTCGCGATCAACTGGGAATCTCCCCGCGATCGACCGGTCGATCGCGATCGACTGGTTGGGCACCCCTGCTATAGATACTACCCCAGTTCCTAAACTGTAATGGAGACGCGCCATAAAGTGAGCCAGTCCTAACGAGCGAGCCAGTCCTAACGAGCGAGGCCGTGTAGTGGAAACGCGCCATAATATAGCACAATACAAATCACAAGAGGTTTTCTGTCAAAAGAGAATACATGTATAGTAAATAGCTGGGAAGATGGAGAGGGCTTTCAAATGGCAGTGAAGAAAAAATACAGCAAAAAAAGAAACGACTGCTGCCAAACTAATCTTAGTAAAAGTGGGCTTACTCTGTGGGCTGTTCCGAACTGCACACTGGGAAGTGCAGGTGGAGCTGAGCTTGTTGATCACTCCGGTGATGTTCTCCACCCGCTGGTCCACCACAGACTTCACGTTGTCCATGTTGAGCAGGTTGAGCCCCTCCAGGCGACCCTGCATAGACGTGATCTGGTTCCTGGCGTTGCGCAAGCTGGCCGACATCCTATTCATTTTCACCTGGGAAGGGCCAGAGCAGGGGTGGGGGGAGAAAATGATTTCTGTGCACATAATACAAAGCAGGTGGATTACTGTCACCAGCCTCATTCATTGTTTTACCAGCCCGAATTCTATTTTTGAATAGAAGCGAGTCTACGTGGTGTTTGGACGTCTGCCAAAATGGCTGCGAGAGTGGATAAACCTACAAAACAATCACCGCCATTTGGCTGGTGTCTGACTCTGGTCCCACACCCTGTTTACAGTCACAGGAATGTTTCCCTGGTGGAGTGGTGCCAGGTTGGACTTTAGAGGTCTTTCAACATCTGCCCAGTTTGCTTTCCAGCTGGATACATTTGACTGGGCAAATTGGGATGACTTTGTTTCTACAAAGCGTTTTATCTTTATCACTTTGTTTAGGTCAGAGTCACTTAAATCTTCACAAGCTAGTTGATGAAGTGGCTTACAGGGAATTGACATCTCTCTGATGGTAATACAGAAACTGGTGCAGTACCACTATTGCATTGTCAGTACAGACCTTGAAATCATATTTACATGATACATACTGTAACGTGTCCAGATTTGACACAGTTTCAACAATGCCAAATCCAATAATATGCAAATGTCGATGACAATTCACTCAACTTTTCAGTCACAAGAATATTTTCTGAAAACTAGGTTTATATTTTTTGTCATAATAGTGTACACTCATTGGTAAAAGGAACTGTAAGCGTTGAAAGTTCTCTTTTTTGTGAGACCAAAATGAGCCTCTTACCTGCATCTCTTGCATAGTGCTCGGGCTCAGAGTATTTTTCCCCAAAATAGTACCATCTCCCCTCTCCTCCTGGCTGGTGCCACCTTGCACGTCCTGTCCTGTCAGGTCTTCCCTCGGCGTCTGTCCCTGGTCCGCTTGCTGAAGTCCATTCGCTCCATTCCCCCGTGCCCCGCGGCACTCCTGGCACCCACCCTTCAGCTTGTTGACCACCTCCTTCAAGCTCTGCAGCTCCTTCATCGTCTTCTCCAGCAGCCTGAACTGCTTGGGCAGCTGGATGGTGAGGGGAGGCAGGGTGAGCTGGTAAGGGCAGTCCTCCCCCTCCTCTGCCCCGGCTCCAGAGCTCCCACATTGGCCCGTTGGTCTCAGTTTAATGGGGCATGAGGTGGGAGTCCCAGATTCAGATCCCAAAGATAAAGGTCCGCTAGAGTCCCATCTCTGGTGAGAGTTGACGGGGAAGTCCGCCGCCCGGCTTGTGCGCGGCACCAAGGTGGCTGTAAGCAGTAGACTGGCATAAACGCACAGCACAATCGTCCTCATTTCTAAGTGTGTGTGAAGTGTCCGCAACTGCCTCTGAAATGACCTCAAAGTGTCTGAATGTGAAAAGTAGTGTGTGTGCTGCAGATGGAGAAGTGTGGGAATGTATGCCCAGGATCCTATTGGTTTAAGAGTGAGTGTGTGTATGAGCACTGCCTGCAGGAGGGAGAGCGCAGGGGGACTGCCGCTGCCTCAGATAGCTGTGTCATTAATATCAGGACGAGTGAGGGAGGGAGGGAGGGAGAGAGAGAGGCAGGCAGGGAGAGAGGGAGGGAGGGGCAGTTCTATTGCGTAATGCAAAACCCTATATCAGCAGCATTGTGAAAAACCACAGAGATGCAGACAGATTCTGTGAGCGGGGGAAAAGAGAGGGAAGTAGAGAGGTGTTTGGCTGCAGGCAGTGCATGGTGCGGTCCTGCCTTCCTCTGAAATCTGTTCATTTCCCTGAAGAGAGAAATGACTCAGTACTGAGGAACTATCCACACAACTGATGTTTGGGTGATGAGTTTTCACGCTTAGTTGTTTGGATGTCATAAGCACATATTTTTGAAACTCAGATTCCAAAGCATTTATGAAATGTGCTAACCCAATTAGGTTCAGGTGGGAACAGATCATGTAAAATCCACGGTTAGCCAGCATCAGCAGTCAAGTTGTTTCAGTTACAACTTGTTTTTCTGTGCTTTGTTAGTTACTGCAAGTTGTTATAGCTTTGCCTGCTAGCATATAGGCAATAACCGACAGAGCCCCAACTTTGTTTGGTTCTTTTGTTGGTGTTTTCCTTGTTGTGTTGTGCTTCTCGGGACGACTCGGTTAGCTAGTTGCGTTTTATTCAGAGGAACCTTTGGCTTTTATATTTTGGTTTAGCACTTATGTTATCACCTGTTTATTCACATCTTTGGGCGGCAGTAACTCAGTACCGGCTTTGGAAGGAGGGTTGCCATCAAGTACGGAGTCTGGATTGGTAGTTTAGGAGTTGTTTAAGACAGTGGTTCTCAAATGGGGGTATGCGGACCCCTGGGGGTACGTTGGAGTACTGCAGGGGGTACGTGAGATTTTTTTTTATGTTAATGGGAAAAAACAAAATTAATGCATTTAAACAAACTACTAATAGTAGATTAACTACTTTATTCAAACGTTTACAGCAATTCTGGATAATAAAATGGGAAAAATAAACGGGGTGCTCTCTTTTCCTCTCCCTCTCCTCACAGCCCGTCAGTCTTGTGCAGCTCGCTGAACCTGTAGTGAGTGACCCGACAGTAAATAATAAATATATTTATAACTAGTTTAGCTAGTTCCAGAGTAGATAAACTAGCTAAGTGTGTTAGGTCTAACTCTAAGTGTATTTTTGCTCCACTCAACGGTCCGTCACAGCGGCGGAGCTGTGATCATGCAGAGCTGCGTGTTCTTCGTCAGCAGCAGCTGATCTGATCTCTGATCCCTCTCTTGCGTCCGGTTAGACTTCACTCGCGTTTATGTCCAAATCTATCAGATCTAGCTAGTTCTAGCTAATTATAAAACTGCCTGCTTATCAAAGGACCTAAACAATAAGCGTTGCTTGGCAACGGCTTGTGGCCGCAAAGTATAGCGCAGCATTATATGTTTATATGAGGGGTCAAAATCCCATGCTCATAAAATGCTCATATATTTTTCTCTCTTCATTCCCCACGCCCCTAAATAAATAAATATACTAATTTTAGGAAAAGTAACGAAGTTTGAGCAGTGTGGGTTTTATATTAACAGAGTTAAACATATTTCAAAACTCGAAGTGTAATAACTGCAATGGCCTCCCTGTCAGAATGACAAAGATCCTCAGTGAAGCACAGCCACATGTTTCTCTCTACATTGTACAACTTATTAAAAAGATCAGTTCAAAGCAACTAATGTCGTCTTAGTGTTATTGCATGATGTTAAAATTGGTTTGCCATGAATTTAGTGATGGATTGTAAACATTTGAAATGTAGCATTTAAGTGCTTCTCAGTTACAAGGTTGTTGTTTTAATAAATCAGACTCTGATGGTGCAGCGCTGTGCTGTACCTCTTTATATAGGCATTTTTCCCCTAACAAATAGTTTTTGCGCTGATCAGGGGGTACTTGGCTGAATATTTGTTTCAAAGGGGGTACATTATTGAAAAAAGTTTGAGAACCACTGGTTTAAGAGGTGCCACTTCACCTCCTAGCATCTACTAAGGTGCTTCTCAGCAAGGTACCAGACCCCAACACTGGCTGCTGTGTATATAATGGCTACCTACTGCTTCCTTTATAAGGATGGGTTAAATGCAGGATCTAACTGTGTTGGCATTGCTGAGGGTTGATTGCAAGTTTATTTGGTTCTAATCCTCCATTTGGTAAGTGGAATATTGTAAAGGTAGAGCATCCTAAATTAGGTTTTGTTCAGCTGTAGGCCACCTGGTTGGGGTCTTGTGATTAGATCTGGGGTTTATTCTAAGAACATCATTTGGTTGTGTTCTCTAGGTCAGGTGTTAAACCTCACTTCCTGCTGACCAAACTCCTCGCTTTTTTACGTGCATCGCTTTTCTATTCCTGCAAAACCAAATCTGTATTTTAAAGTGGGTACTGTGTTACATAGTTGCTCCAATGGGTCACCAAGGTGCCGCACAGGTAATCTCATGACATCATGCTCAATAAAGACCTGGTCAAGACACGGCAATACAACACAGAGGTACCGAGAGGACATGCAAACACAGACTAAGTAGAGCACAAGTGCAAGAGTGATAGTTTAAAACTTTGTACAAGAGCACACCCCCACAGACGCTCTCTGTAGATTTTCCTAAAGTAGTTTAAATCCCCGAGGGGAATCAAAGTGGAGAGCTTCAGTACTGCTGTAGTGTGTTTCTGTTCGAGGAGGCAGAGTGGGAGAAAGCCTTCCCACCAAATTCTGTACGGACTGACTGAGGGGATGCAGAGAGTGATGGAGCTCCAGGAACAGAGGCAGCGCTGTTTACTGTACGTGACATAGGTGGATACATGAGTGGGCAGCAGTCCAAGGATGGATTTAAAAATAAAGTTATACTAGTGCAAAGTTCTGCACATGGATAATTATGACTACAATTGACTATAGGAAACAGATAAACGGTCTCTCAAAGGGATTGCAGCCGGTGAAGATTCTCCATGATAGATTGCTTTCAGCGAACGAAGATAGCGAGTGTTCAGGTACAGAACAGCCCCTTAGTCAAGAGAAAGCGGCAACAAATGAGTTTCCGGCATTTTAAGAGAGACAGAATTTGACAAATTTCCTTAAAAGATGATTAAGAAGTATGCATCTGTTTGAATTGCTCACAGCACTGAGTAAAACATCATTAACCAAACTGTTAGGAAGTCAATGCATATGATTGAGAAAGTCAATTTAAACACAAAGACAAACAAATGAGTTTATGGCTTTTAAACGTTGTATTTTACAGCTATACATACTGTCCGTAGTGCTCACTCTGTATCTTCCTTTCTTCTGCTTTAATCTCTTATATGGCTGATCTACACATTTAATTCTTGGTGTTGTGTTAAACTTCATTTTTATAAACTATATTTGCTTCCAACCTTTTACGTAGACTCCAATCTGGTCACAGTTAGTTTGTGTCCGTAGAAAACAACAACTTTATTGGCAAGTATTTAAAAGGCTTTCTCAGGATGTCGCAACTGAGTCTTTAGAAAAGGTATCCCTGAATCCCAATCATCCATATTGAGCACCTGCCAGTACTCTGTGGTGATTCTATTTATTTAGTGTTTCCTGCGTATACAGCTGCACATGGCACAATTAACTCGGAATAAATCTACATTAAAATGAGTAAAGCCACATCAATTTAAATAAGATTTATTCTGATGGAAATACAAAACGAAAATATAGCCTAGAACACATTGTACCTCAAATTGTTTTCTATGTTGGTTTCCTTTTGTATTCTTTTTGTTGAAATATTGTCCTTTCTTGTTACAATTGTCTGTGTTTTGAAAGGAAAGTTTGGACTGAATTTAGACAGCCTATCCTCTCAAGCATGAACAACATATGGTAATGAAAAAGCAATTTCAAACCAAGTACACCTGCAACATGCCACGGAAATAAATGCAAAACAGACAAGAAAAAGAAAGTCTGTCACTGTGGGACTCATAAATGGAAACTGCTGTTTTTCATTCCGTGCTGTCTAATGAATATATTGCATTAAGCTTTGTATGTTTGCCTGTTTTTTATAAAGGGAAATAGGACATTTTGGTAGCACAAAGACAGACATTTTTCACTCTTAAAAACGAGATTATCCCACGGGGTTTCATCAATTCTTTTTTAAAAGACATTTTCATTTCCCATAACAATTATTTCGTCACCTGAATCCTCCAAAGGTAAATGGTCTGTACTTATATAGCACTTTATCCAGTCTTTACGACCCCTCAAAGCGCTTACTACATTCACCCATTCATACAGAGCAGTGTACCTTACTCTAGGAACTAACATTCACACACCGTTGGCCATGCCATCGGGAGCAACTCAGGGTTAAGTATCTTACCCAAGGATACATCGACAACATGTTGGCTGTACGGGCTGGGATCGAACCCACAACCTTCTGGTTGAAAGACGACCGCAATCCCTCGCAGCCACAGTCGCCCCGACAAAGGGAGATAAACATTCAGAAGCTGGAATATCGAATTGTTGTTTTACAAAAAGTGTCTCAAAGATGTTTTACGATACATGAGATCTGGGTACTTTTACTCTACGTCAAAAAACATTTGATTAGACTTTTAGCATTTGACCACTTCCTGTTCCCTCGTCTCAAAGTCAACGGTTCGTATTTGTGGTGATAGATTGCAATGATGTCAACATTGCTGTAAAAGATAATGAAGTCTTTATGAATAAACAATACCCCTGTGTTCCCTCTGTAATGAGGATGTGGCTATGTGGTCATTTTTGGCGTTTTCTTTTTCAAATTTGTTTTAATTTAAATTGCACTCACTATCCCACAGACATTATTCATACCTCAGGCTATTTCATAGAGTATCTTTTAGAAGCAAAACAAGCTATTAAAATAAATGATGTATTCTGCCAAGTAAACAATTATTAGTTCTGGTTCTTTGCCAAGTAACATAAACAGGATGTTTCCTTATTTGGAGTCATGTTGAAAAAAACAAAGTAATATCATTAAAGTGGAAATGGACAACTTTTCAACTTTTGAATC